CAAGGGGGAGCGGCGAAGCCGTTTGGAGGCACGGACGTCCCTGCGCGTGGGTGGCCTTCTGGCCTGACAGGGCCCTTGAGGTTTTTCGATGTGTGTGCATTTTGCCAAAGCGTTTCAGCAGCTACTGTGAAATCTTTTTTTTCACATTTTCTTTTCAGCGTAGAGAGCTTTTTGCCCTTTTAACCTTTTGCTCAATGAACAGCTGCTGGCTTTACATCCTTGCCTCAAAAGTCACAGAGGAGAGGTGAAAATGAAAATGTAGGTGCCTATCAGGTACCTTGCAGAGTTTAGTACAAAAAATCAAGGCAGCTCTGTAAAGAAATTGATATTCCTGAAAAAGCTGGCAGTTGTGTACCAATAAGTTAACAATCAAAGCATTGAGAAGCCTGAATCTACTTTCACCTTACTTCAGGCAAAAAATATATATTTATACATTTCTCTTTCTAATAGTGCTTGTTTTGAAAATAAATGTAGCTTGTTATGTAAGAAGAGTAAATAGTTACAGCTTAAATTATGTAAAAATTATAAATCAGTGAGACTATTCAGGTGCATAAAGTAGTGCATGTGTGTAAATGACTTCAGAATCCATCTTCTGTCAATACACTAGTTTTACCACGCTCCTGGGGAGTTTTTGTGCTGTCTACCTGTTTAAAAAAATCCACAAAATCTGTAAAATCTGTTAATTAAAATTCAAAGATAATAAACTTTTTTTCATATGTATGCGTACACATGCCAGATGCACTCAAAATAACAAAACCAAAAACCCAGAACATGAAACAGCATCAGCTGCCACTACAAATGCATATTGGTAGTAATTAATTCAAAGCAAAAACTTTTGTGATATATCTTTGTTTTGCTGTTGTGAGAAATCAGTAGGATCCATGGGCTTGCATTAAAACTTATTTCAGTGTCTAGGCTATAGGTTTTGCAAATAAGAGAGAAAAAAAGCATCTGAATTTCTTTGCATTATGTATAATTCAAGCTAAATATTGGCAGTACAATGATTAAGCAATTCTAGGTTTTATTGTTTTTAACGTTGTCTATTGCTGATGTCTGGTGGGGAGCCTACTAGGATTGCAAACTTGTTTGAGGGGGGGAGAAACGGAGCGCAAAATAATGCATGTGTTTTATGTTATGTTTTATAGTAGCGTTTGCAGGGGAAAAAAGGAAAACATAATTTTCGCATGAAAGAAAGATTTTTTTTTTTTAAATATAAAGTGTGTCCTTAAGTTATTTGAAAAGAATGGCTACGTGTATGGCTCAAAAATTTTGAGGGTAAAACTAAATGTATAATTCCGATATAAAATGGAAAAAAAAAATCAGACACAAGCGCTGTCTATCCGCTGCACTTCCCCTTAAAACTGCAACTTTAAAGACAGCTATACCTGTCTACTATTTCAGGAGGAGTTGTTTTATCATTGTAAACCTAATGTTTCTAGTTGTTTATATTCTCTTGGTTAGCCTGTGAAAAACAGTGTTTCCTCTTTAATTTCTTTAAATATATTTGACTTGCAAATTGGATATAGTAGGAAGTGGTAATTGTGTATCTTATTACTGATGGTAATATTTTAAATGAAATATTTTACTCTAACTTCATACCTTGACATGCATGTTGGTAATATAGTGCCATATGTGTGCGTAATAATCTTTGGGAAAAGAGAATTGTGGTTACCTTAGTATGGAAAATTTGAGATCTGAGACAACTTCTGAGTTGTCTGTAACTAGAAAAAAATCATTTTAATATCCATCCCAAAGATATGCCAAGAATAATGATGGGTCTTAGTGGATGACAAGGATGAGATGGTGACAGTGAAAGGAATACCCTTGGGAGGGACAGCACTGAGCAAACTGTGTGCATACAGGTAATGTTCTGTGTGTTGAAGCTATGCTGGCAATGATAGGATACAGTCACTAATATTCAGCATGGGTAAAGTAGAAATGTTCTGATACATATCTCTAGTTTATTTTTACAACATGTTGCTTTTTTACAAAATATCCTGGCCATATGTTTCTTAATATGGTAGTATCTTATTCTTTATAATACTTCTGCTTTAGGTCCTGTTTTCCACTCGTCTTTGCAGCACGAGACAAGGAAATTCTTGTAAATAAGATGTGTTGCAATCTAGATTTGAGAGTCCTAATCAAGAGACTGTTCCTTTTACTAAGAATAACTGGATACCTGCAGTACAAGCATGGAAGTGGTCTTGCATTATCGACCACACCAGAGAGATCTAATAAAACTGCAAAAATTTGCAGAAGCAGCAGTGAAGGAGTTTCCCATTCGTCAGTTACCAAGATTTACACCCTGGTTTCCAAATGATTTAAACAGACTTCCCCTCAAACCAAAAAGGCAGCCACCTATTATCTCTTCTGAGGAAGCGGAAGAATTAAAACAACTTTCTGCAGCTTCAGAATATATTACAGGATTTCCTGATTATGACTGCACAAAAAATCTCCTTGAGTTTCAGTCTAACCTGAGTCATGGGCAGACTTCAGTCCAAGCTCGAACTGTTCACAGACCAATTAACTTGGAGAATCGAGAAGAACCACCATCTAATGGAAAACAAAAATTGAAAAGGTCTTGGAGTGTCTCTCTCCCTAGTGCTAAGATCAAAGAAAAGAGTCTTCCTTTGTCTCAAGAACTGCAGAATAATTTGGAAAGGCTGAAACTGGATGTATTTTGTAGAGCAAAGTGGACAATTGAACAGTCTGTTTGTAATAATCAAACTTTGGAGGACATCTGGATAAAACTGAATAGGCTCATCAAACACAATGAATTGCCATCTTGCAATGCTACAATCCAAAGATCTGTGGGCCAGATATGGATTTTCTGTGATATATTATACTGTGAATATGTTAGAAATGTTCTTAGGGAAAGGCTAAGCCTTACTGATAAAATGAATTTGCTTGTGCATAAATTTGGAATTATTTTTAGCTCGTAATTTTATGATAGAGTTCCATAATAATGCTGCTATCTGAAGTACTAGAGTTTTTAAGCAGCTTAGAAGATACAAACTTTGGAACAACCAATGAATTAAAGAGCAGGAAACTATTAAATATTTTTTGGCTACAATTTTTCTTTATTTAACTTTATTTGACCAGGAATCTTATGAGTGCTTCTATTAAGATTGGTATGTTTCTGTTTGGTTTAGAACTGCATTTATTAAGCTTTTCTCTACATCAGTTGTCTAGGAAAAAAATCTGTTGTCTAGACTGTTATGGCAAGCTGTGTCAGATAATAAAAGTTATGCTTTCAGTCAAGCCAAGTATTTCCTCACTGTGCTGTTTTGATTAAAATTAGAAGGAGAAAGAAAAGATATTTTGAAGTGGGTCCATCACACATGGCAGTGTGATAATCACTGTAAAGAACAGGGTTTTTCGTTTTGTTTTGTTTTGTTTTCTACCAAGACTGTCAAGATCTGAGTATTTCCTGGAAGTAATTCTTTTATGAAGGAATTAAAATTAAATATATTAAATACAAACTTTAAATACAGAAAATTGAAACTTTCCGTTCTATTCAAACACTGTCTGAATGATGTTGTTAGTATTTTCCCAGAAGTATTAGTGAAAGTTTCAGTGGAAGTTGGATGCTCTGGAATAGTGGACATCTTTATTGTTTTCTATTTTGTGACTTTTGTACTAATATTTCTTCTGAGGTTGCTCGTCTTTGGTCTGTGACCTATATAGGAGCCTCTAATTATACTGGGGAACAAGAAAGCACGAACTTCCATCTGTAAGTCAGGAAATTAAGAAATCAGGCTTCTATCTGTAAACCTCTATTTGTTGTTGTTATAGAAGGTAACGGTCTCTGAAGATCAGAACGTATATTTTGCAGGGCTGAGTTCAGCATGACTTTTTGTCATCTGAAAGAATAAACTGTTTCAAGGTCATGCTATCTGTGCTCAGTGCCATGTCTGGAAGGTCAGTGGAGCAAGTAAACTGGTATCCACGTAACTGCATGGGTCTGTATTTCTCGTAGGGAATCCGATTAACTCCTCTCCAGATAATCCCGTTGTCGCTGGAGATAAAGGTTTGTGGCATCGGAAAGAAAAAGGGAAAAACAGTGAGTGAAGGGTCATCTCAGATTGTTAAAATGTCGTAAAGACTGATCAAATTGGAGGGCACATAAGTATAGCCTCAGGAGATCCCTCTCTGTGAAAACGAAATACTTAACCTCTGTCCTTATGCTGGAATAACAATGTTTTATTGTCGGGATTACCTATCTCTTTGTAGTTTAAAATTTATGATATTACTCAAATTGGATCATTGGCGTATGTTTCTAAACTGTGACTGAATGTTCAAGGAGTCTTATATTGATATTCAGGGATTTTATTTGAGACTTAAGATTACCCGTAACTCAGGGTCATTATTAGTTTTATATCAACAGATTATTTCACTGAAATTGTTTTTCTAATCTTAAAGATAACTAGTAACAAGAATTTAACAGTCAGAATTTAAAAAGCAATAATGGGGTACAATGCAGCATGATTCGGGTTTTGTTTTATTTAGTGTTGTGTTTTGCATCTATGTTGTTGAAAGAAATGCAAGATTTGTTAAGCAAGGATAGGTAGTCCTGCAAAGATACAGTATTTTCTAAGGCTAATTCACTAGTGATACAATGATATTCTGCATAATTTATGTGTTTTGACTTCATGCAGAGATGATTTTTATTGCTGTTGTCTGTTTTAGGCGTGTCATTAAACTTGAGCAGCAGTTATTTCTTTAGAAAGAGTTGGCAAGTACTAGTTTATGAGCTTACTGTAGAATTGAATGCAATTAGGCAGTTGTCAGTAATGCAGTCCCATTCTGTTTGCTTAATGTACCCAGAACAGAGGTAAACAAACGTTTTGCCAAATATCAGCAGTGATTGGTGTCACGTTTCTCAGTGACAGCTGTCAGCTTTCTGCCACTTCGGGTTGGCTTGTATACTAATAAAGGTACCTGCACTGCTAATTGGGAGCAACTCACTGTAGAGTAATAAGTAGTGAACATCACATTTATTTTCTTTATAGAATTATTATATATGCACAAGCTGCAACACAGAACTTCATTTTGAAGTGTTCCAGAAATGCTTAGCTCATATGCATATATAATTTATTATCTTTCTTTTTCAAGTTTGAATCTGGTTCGCCATTTACTCTAATTTTGTTTATTTGGGGGCTTTTCATTTACTTCGTGGCTCTAAACCTTCAGAGGTTGTGTTTTTCAACTTTTCTCCATAACAAAGACAATGTATTTCCTTTTACTTGAAAACTGAGATTAGTTAGTGTCAATGCTAGCAAACTTGCATAGGTCTTCTCTAGGGTAGTGTAAGTTATTGAATGCTGATGTGACATACAAGATGCCGCAAAAGTACAATAAAGCTAAAAGTGCAGTACGTGGTTCAGTGCAAGGCTGTTGATTAACTTGTGTTCAAAAGAAATCTCAAGGTTTTTTTACTTCGTTTTCAGAAAATATATGTTTTGTTTCAAAAGTTCAAAGGAAAAAATAAACAGTGATTTTTACATATTCAGAGCAACACCTAAGGTTGCAAATGCTCAGCTTTTGTGTGAGCGCTTTTATCTGAAGGTATATGCAAGATTAGGGCCATTGATCTGTGTGACTAGGGAGGAATTCTTTTAAGAAGCAACATTTCCTCTGTGCAACATAAATAAAAACCACATAATTTTGAGTGTTGTGAGTTAAAAGAGCCTTCCAAAATTCTACTTTCCTTGAATAGGAACTTTTTAGTAGTGAGTAAAATCTCAGTTTTATTCTGTCAATATTGGTACAATAGTTTTTGCAAGTGGGTTGCCGAGTCTTTTGTTATTGTTTTGCTGGTTTGATTTTAAAATTGTGACTAAAAGAAAAAATAGTTGTATAAATCTGGGATCTTAAACTTGTAACTCTTGCGTATGTTCTGGAGGTTAGGAGGTAAATGGAATTCCTTGTATCATGGAGCACATGACTGAAAGGGTGTTGGTCATTAGCCTACGAGAGTCCACAAAAAAAGGAAATGAGAGCATTTCTGCAGAAGGCCACAAAACTGTTAACGCTACGCTATAACAGATACAAGACCTTGAGCGTATTAGATTGAAAGCAGTAAAAACTAGTGTGTCAAGGAAATAAAGCGAGAAGAGCAATGGCATCACCAGTGCTCTTGGATCTCCCAGTAGCAGAGAATATTGTTAGGTTGAAAATAACCACATGATCCAAAGAGGTGTTACCCCCTTTCGAGCTGAGTTTGGTCCTTTTCTCTCTCTCCCTTTCTCTCTCTCCCTCTCTCTTTCTCCCCCTCTCCCCCTTTTTTCTGTTTTTAATCTTTATTTTTGTGGAAAGAGAGCAAGACAAAATTATACTTAAAATAAAATCTGAGGATACTTGTTTCATTGACCTCTGGTTTATTTTCTGATTTCAGTGATGAGGCTAACCAAGCCTACTTTATTCACTAATATCCCGGTGACTTGTGAAGAGAGAGACTTGCCAGGTATGTCTTTCCTACTAACTGATGATTGTGTACATATTAGCACGTCCCTGCCGTGTGAGCACCTGTGATTTAGATGCCACAGGAGTCTTAGGATCTCCTATAGTTTCTAATCTCAAATGAGAGTGTATTATATGAGATAAATATTCTTTGGTAATGCCTGCAGGAAAATGTCAAGGTGCTCCTCTAAAACTTTGAAAACCAAAATAACCCACAAAACTAAAGCTCTAAAAACTTAGTGGGGATGTTGTAAACGTGTGACCTCAGAGTTTGAGTGATTAAGACATAATATTCTGGTAGAATGTGGGCATGGTGGGGAGCATATAGGTGCTTTAACGTGGATGGTAGCTGTAAGATAGACAAATGCATAGACAAAAGTTTGGAGTTAACAGTTGTCTTTATCTAGAGAAAACAGCCTTGCTAGTTAGAACCAGTGCATCACTGCTTGGACTATGGAAAATGATTTTGCAAGAATCACTGCTATACGCTTTATGCGTAATATACAGAGAGCTGCTAAATCAGAAGTTCATGGGTTGTTCCTTAGTAATAGATGCAGTCTAGAAGGCAAGTATAAGAAAGAGGCAAGGAATGAACCGAGGAAAGAGAATTCTGTTGAAATGCAAAGCAAGTAAGGAAAAAAAGTAGGTGGGGCTGACTAATTCTGTTATGCGCTACACTTTTTACAAGCAGAATTTCCCTTAAAGTTTAATGTTAACTTGAGTACCGCCTTTGGGATTGGGCTCTTCAGCATGTACACCAGCTGCTTTATTGGGCACGGATGCCTGAAAGCAAGTTATAATTTATAAGCAGGCATATAGGTCTCTAATTTATGCCTAAATAAATTGACTGCAAAACAAATGTGTCTAAAATAAATTACATCTAAATAAGTGGTGAAATGGTTTAACTCACATGGAAACATGGTTCTAGACTTGGAAATATTTTGATTTTAGCAATTTCATATTTCTACAGGCAATCTATTTAACCAGCTCATGAAAGATGATCCTTCTACTGTAAATGGAGCAGAAACTTTGATGCTAGGAGAAATGCTGACTTTGCCTCAGAATTTTGGGTAAAAACAACTTATAACTGCAACTTGTAGTATACCAGGTTTAGGATTCATTTAACAGTAATGTGTTTTATTGCTTTTTGTTATGAATATACATCCTAGTAATATAGTGAAGTGCTCAGTGGTTTTTAGAAAAAAACAAACTTGTGGCTTGATTTACAACGTGCAATAACGTATAACCCTATGCTGGATAATGTTCAGTGGCTGTAGCCTGACTGTGCGCATAATAGGTACTGAAAGTTGAGAGGAATTTGCAGCTCTGGGTCAATTTCTGCAGTTGCTATAAACTTCAGTTTGTACTAACAAGGTTTACTCCAGAGAATTTAGTGGGTACTGAAAGCAATCTTCTTATTCTATTCAGATTTTTTCAGTAAAACTTTATAATTGGTTGGTTCTCTTCTGAAATTGTTTCTCTTGGAAGTTTGAAATTTAGAAATATGGATATGAAATTGCCAGTATACTTTGGGACTTGATCTGGCAGTCTGTTAAGCTGTTCTCACGTTTGACTCTTAGGAGGAATTCTGCTGGCTTGTGGATACTGGAAAAATAAAAAAGAGAAAAATGTCCTAAAGCACCATGTCTGCTGCCACTCCATAGCCATAGCAAATGGGATTCCCGTAATGGAATCTGTTGCCTGTGATTTAAGCACGCTGTTGACTAGGTATGCTCTGAGCAGGGTTTGCTGAGACTTCCATGCAGTCCTCTTCTATGGCCTTTGTAGGCTACCTCTACGCAGCATTTTAAGAACTGGAGCCAGTAATTGGTATAGACAAGGTTGCTGAACAGTTTCAAAAATTAAAAAAAGCAATTGAACTTAAAGGGATTTTAGTGGAATATACTTTTTTTTTTTGTTTAAAATAATTGTTGCTGAATATACCTTTTTTTTTTTTTTTGACACAGAAACATATTTCTGGGAGAGACGTTTTCCAGTTACATTAGTGTACATAATGATAGCAATCAAATTGTCAAGGACATATTGGTAAAGGTATGTGAAAATACATCTACTTCCTGGATTTATAAAAAATGTATTAAGTGTGATTTCTGACAGCATCTGGTGCATTTAGCACTGATGCATAGAGTTTAGGAAATACCTTTCACATTTTTTTCCAAACCAGAAAATATCCCTGGAAACAGCAAGACATGAACATATCAAATATTATTAATATTTTTAAAGATTAAAATAAAAAATTGGGATTATATTTAAAAAAAAAATGGATAGGCTGTAAAGCTGCTGTAGAAAATTAGTGTACCAGAACTTCCACAGCCAAAACAAATTGGAGTTATATTCTTTACTGGTTACACTTTCAATGAGATCATCAAAGCAAGTCTCTGTAAAGTACATATTGATTTGTATTTTACTTATATTTCAAATGAGTTCTTCAGTGCATCATAGTTTTTTGTTGTTTGTTGAACAAATAATATGTTGAGAACAGAAATCCTACAAATAGTTTCACAGTGTGGAACTCAAAAGTAAGTGGAGGTTTTGTGAGCTGCATGTTGAAGGACTGGATTCTTTATGTATATTTTTAAAATTGTCTTTAGCTTTGTCAAGTTACATGTCTAAATTGTTTTACATGCATAAAAGCGTACAAAAATCCTCTGTGAAATCTAGTACTTTTCAAAATAAGTTGTTTTTCTTTAGAATGCTTTAAGTATCTGTGCTTTTAACCACTGCTTTGTTTTTCTGTTCTCAGGCTGATCTTCAGACAAGTTCTCAGCGCTTGAACCTTTCAGCTTCCAGTGCTGCAGTGGCAGAGCTTAAACCTGACTGTTGTATTGATGATGTGATTCATCATGAAGTAAAGGAAATAGGAACACACATGTAACGTTTTTAAATCTTCTGACTTGCATTTTCTCTGAATTTTTTCATCACTGCAGAGCTATAATCAAGCTTAAATGAAGCTGCAGCACATGAAATAGTATACTGCTTCTACTTTGATGCAGGCATAGAATTTAAAATAATTCAAAATTCTTTAAAACTATTTTTCTTTCAGCTTAGTTTGTGCAGTGAGTTACACTACACAGATTGGAGAGAAGATGTACTTCAGAAAGTTCTTCAAATTTCAGGTATTGTACAGAAGAGCATGTTGTGCTTGCAATAAGTGAGTAGGTCTGGAAAACTGGCGCTTTTGAAAGAAAGTCAAATATATTTTAACAGTATGTAAAAGTACTTTAGAAGTATCAACTTTGAAAGCTGAACCAGTAAAAGAAGTATTGCTTCAAACTTTACATGAGCTGATGATTTCTAATTACTGTGTACTTTTCGGAAGTAAAAAATATTAATCTCTTACAACTTTGATTCATTGATTGGAAAATAAAAATCAGCATTTTCAAAAAAAATAGTTTTATAGCAGGCACCGTCATGATTTATTTTTTAAATAGAACAAGTATTACCATTCTAATTCTGACACAGCTAACTTTTGAGTTCAACATTCTGAAATTCTGCTTTCTTTTAGTGTAACTGTTTTTTTAATTGGAACTTAATGGTTTCGTTTAGGTTTTAAAGAAAACTAGGAAAACAAGTCTGTCTTGGTAATAGCCATAGAAGTAATTGATAGAGTTGAAATCTTTTGTTCTACCACACAGATTTCAAGACTTGATTAGAGTAACTGATGAAAGCAGAAAATTACCACTATCTCTAGATTAGTTCTGGCAGAAAAGAGTACATTTTAGCCATGGATTTAATGGATGTTTGTTTTCTGAGACACGCGATGAGACTTGGAGAATTTTGGGCCCTTTTCCAGAGAAAGAAGAATTAGGGGGCACACTTGACTGAGTACATTTTGAGATAATCTTGTAGAGTTTCTGGCAGTACAGGAGCATTATACCATTTAGGCTTGTATCTTTTGCAGATTACAGATTATTTCATTTTACTCTTCTAGTCCTATATTCAATCTAATTACTTGGTATTTAGACAAACGTATTTCAGTCTTTAGAAGGCTAAATTGTTGTGTGCCACAAAGAACAGTAGGGAGAGTGATATTAGTACTTGTGGGCCTTGAAATGGCAGATACTGGTTAGGCAAGATGTTTCCATACGATCCTAGCAGATGATCCACATCTATTATCGTGTAGTACGCTCCTCCAGACTCTGCAGGGTTTCTTCATCTTTATTGAAGCTGATTCTCATCTTTTTGGATTTTGTCTCATTCTCCTTGCAAAATTGTTTCTCTTGTTCTCAATTTCTCCATTTTTTGTCCCCAGCTGCTTAGTGTTCTGTCCCTCTGTGGCCTCCAGGCTCTCTTTGATTGCTCTGATGTACGCATTTCTAGGCTCCCATTTCTTATCTTCTCTCCCTTCCTTGTTCTTTCCAGAGTCTTGTTCAAGATTGTGGACTTGTCTCCTTTATCACATTTGATATGGGCGTTTATGCAGACAAAGTTTTCAGAGGTCTGCATGCAGATTGTAATTTCCGTGTTTTGTAACTTAGTCAAACAAACATGGGCATCTTTAATGGCAGGACTCAAAAGAGCAAAGGCCGTTTATCTGTCAAATTTCAAGCCCTTCCTTCAAAGAAGGAAGCACAAGAATGTCTCAAAAAGAATATATATACTTTAACACTGTTATATAAATATTTTCTGAGCCTTTATCAAAAAAATTCTTAGCTGAACAATTTTGGTTCCTATTTTTAGAAGTTTTAACGTGAGAAATAGAGACCCAGACTGGAAAATCTTGAGAACAAAAAAACTGAACCAGGGTCTTTGTAATGGGAATCGATGACTGCTGTAGTGATAGAGGTGCCACCACATACTTTATAACATAAAAAGCATTTTCTCATGTTTTTCAGGGTCTTTTAAACTGAACTGGTGTTATAGTTTGTTATCAAACAGCTAATTTTTCAACCATTTATGTACTTTTATATTGGCCAATAGTGCCTTTTTTTCCAAAACTTTCTCTGAGTAATTAACATTGTCATGTATGTATAGAGAAGGAATGATACTGTATAGAGTTCTTTTGTGAACCTAAAAATAATTATTTGATTTTTACTGGAATGCATTTGAAATTTACTGGAATTAATTGAAAGACTCAGCTTATCAGGTCAAAGAAATAAGTAGAAAATATCAGAATTTAGGGAAATGAATAAGGAACTGACTGAAGAAAAATGCTTAAAAAAAAAAACCCTAAATATTGATATTTTGATTTTTTTTTTTCCTGATTAAAGAGAGAGAGTTAGGATTATTTGAAAAATTTGAACATCATGCCTATTACCGTGCAAAAAGCTCTGCGAGGACTCCTTTTTAACTTTGATTTGTTCAGGCTAAAAATTTTGTTCACGACTCAGAACTTTGTACTGCATCTTGATTGACTCCTACTTACGTGTAAAGTAAAGAAAACTTTCCTTGGGTAAAGCAAGGTAGATGTCTTGAGCAAGACAATTTAAATCTGTTTCCTGTCAGGTATAATAGAACATATTATTTCTTTCACTTATATCAATCTATATCCATTTCACATATGAATGTATTAACTATTTTGCATTAACTCTACTGGCTTTATGTGCAACATACAAAAGCTTAAATCAGGGCCAGACTCTTTTCTCTGATGCCCAGTGACAGGATGAGAGGCAACAGGCACAAACTGAAACACAGGAGGTTCTGTCTGAACATGACAAAAAATTTATTTACCGTGAGGGTGACGGAGCACTGGAACAGGTTGCCCAGAGAGGTGGTGGAGTCTCCTTCCCTGGAGATACTCAGAAGCTGTCTGGAAAGAATCTTGGGCAACGTGCTCCAGAGGACCCTGCTTGAGCAGGGGGGTTGGACTGGATGATCTCCAGAGGTCCCTTCCAACCTCAACGATTCTGTGATTTCTGTGACCTTCTGAACCGATACTTCATTATCACCTTTTTATCAAGAATTATTCTCTCTTGCAAATCTTACGGAATTAAAATGTTATGTGGTTTTTTTTTTCCTTAATGAGTGTAATAACTGCATTTGCAAGAAGAAAGTCAAAGCTAGTAATTGTCTGTTGCTTAAGCTAATCACATGAAACTGAGAGTTCACTATTTCATTTATTTTTAGAGAAACCCTCAAACAAGCTGTTTGCTGCAAAATACTGTGGGTTTTGTAACTATTTCATGGTTCTTACTCCCTATTCAAAACAACTGCAGATCACTTCAGAAAACTACATGGATATACTGTTATTGTAAAGGCATCGATCTAATAATCAGTGCACTAGATTTGTCCACTTTCATAGGAGGAGAGTGCTTGTGTGGGGAAGTAGTTATTATCTATACGTGAAAACTATTCAGCAAGGTAATCATATATGTAAATAAGAAGTAGCTAGCATATAGCATGAATTGTGTTTTTTAGGTGAGATGATCCTATCACATCTTCCATTATACATCTTTCCTGCTTAAGATCCTAAAGAGAAAAACACTGTAGTAAAGATCCTAGCACTTACAAACACATATTGATATTTTTGATGTTAAAGATGTCCAAGAAAACAATTGTAAATCTCTCTTTCTTCATTCCGTTCAGGTTCTCAAACCACTAGATGTGAAAACTAAGTTCTACAACGCTGAGGTAAGTGTGAGCTGTTTATATTTGAGTTTGGTTGGGGGGTTGTGCTTTTTTGTTTGTTTGGGACTTTTTACTTTGCATTAGATTGACTGCTAGTTTAAATACAAAGAGCGTCTTAAATACAAAGTTTCTTAGAAATATAATCTCCTCCAAAGGAAAAAAAAAAAAAGTGATGGGTTATGTATCTTTTATTGTTTTTAAAAAAAAAAAAGTGATATCATCTGTTTCCATATACATTTTAGGCATCAGAAGAAATTTTGCATATTTACTGCTTTCCCATGAACTCAAATATTTGCAATTACAGCTTTCATTCTTAGGCTGATTGAAGAGTACTTGACCTGAGGTGGATTATTTGTACTTAAAGCAGATGATAATTTGCCAGGCTGTGGGAAATGTTATTTTTCTCTAATGTGCATAATGTCCCTCTGTAAAATAACTTAATGTCTAGGTTTGTGGCTGTTTCACATAGCGCTTCAAGAAAAAATGGCCTTATATATCCATTAAGTATTTATATGGAGTTACTTCAGCACCTGTCTTTGGCTACTTAAAGGCCAAATGGTTTTAAATTGAAGGTGATAAAGGGTGGAAACTTAAAAATTACATACAGCACACTTTTTATTTGTAGATATCTCCTATGCATATGTGTATTCTATAGGTCTTCTGTAGGGTGTAAACTTTCACCATGTCCCTTTAGGAGTAGTGCATAAGATAAGAAATGAGGACATGTGTTTCCATCACTTTCATTTACTTGCTTTGTGATAATGAGCAAATCATTTAATTTCCTGTGTATCATATTTTGTATATTGTTTGCATGAAGTTTAGACTGATACTTGCAAAATATTTCAGGAGTTTTATTATGAGTGTTAAACTTACTTCATAGCCTCTGAAATATAGTTAACTATAACACTGCTAGCCATTTGGTTGGAAACTTTCATTGGTATGCTTAAGTGATTTGGAAATAATTCAGACAATAATTTGTGTTGAACTAAGTAGCAAATGTTTTGCTATCCTGTTTGTTCTTAAATAAGCAGATACATGTGCTATGAATTTGCATGTAGAAAAGCAAAAAGTCTCAAAAACTATCGTTTTAATTATTTATCTTCATCATAGTTACAGGTGTAGGGTTCATAATGCAAGATTATGGCTACGCAAGTGCAAAACAAGTATTTCTTTCCCTTCCTGTCAGTATAGATAGAGAAAACAAGTAGAGGGAAGAAATGGCAGGTGATAATTCCTGGTCTATGAATGAGGATCTAAGGTGCCAAGCTCTGTCTTGTCCAGAGTCATGCAGGAGGTTCTCCATAAAAATTTTCCCTCAGCTGCAAATGAATAGCATGTAAATTATAAGACATTTAATATATAGCATGTAATTTATTTAGAGGGAGGAAAAATCAAGACTTAGGGCATGACTTCCATTACCGTAGGATCCACATAATTGATTAAAAATGGTTTTTTAAAGATTGTGGATGATATTAACTGAGGGGTTTTCATTTGCCTAGCAAACTGGTATATTACCATTACGACTTTATTTCTGAAAGTATAAGTAGTGCTGCTACATGTTTTGACTGTCAAACAAAATAAAAAGCTAGAAGTAAGTCCTTGCTTAGATGACGTATGTGGTATTACACTGCTGTCAGAAGCACTGACACCTTCGTTCTATGCGTTAAAAGAACGAACATTATCCTGGGGAGTAGGGGAACAACAAAAGAATTGTGTGTATCAGTTATTGGTTAATTAAAGGTCTTCAAAGATTGACTAACCAGTTAAACTCTTGCCATTATTGTTGCAGATGTGATACTATCTGTTCAGAAAGTCTGTCACTAAAACTGTGAATTACTATTTCTAGCAGAAAATTATTTCACTTTTTTAAGACAGGGAAGTAATGCTGAACCTTAATCGTCTTGCTTGTTGCTCATATTGCAATAGCATCCAAATCAAGTTGGTCACTGAAATTTATGCACCGAATGCCTGCCCTGTCACCCTAACCTGCTGCCGTCCTGGGACAGAATTACCTGCCGCAGTCTGTGAGACTGACCCCAGTGGGCCGGGGAAAAGGCTCGGTCAGGGTTCTGCTCCTGCAAACACGCGCAGGCAGACAAACGTGTAGACGCTTGAGAAAATAAATTTTCCAAGTACAGTTAGTCTTTTTGAGGGATCTAGTCAAAAAAGTTTTTCCTGATTATGTTATGCCAAATTTTGTCATAAGCTGCAGTATTGTAGCTCTGCTAGCACCTGTTGTTTTTCTTTTTAGACCTTATATAGGGATAATGCAAATTGTCTGTACAATGACAAGGACTGTTTTTCCATTTCATATGCAACCCATTGCATGGATTTAAATTCAGGACAATCTTTAAACTTGCTCAGAAACTAACTGCTTTTTTTGGATCAGTTTATTCTCCTGTACCTTAGCTGTACCTTGTGTGCCTTAATCTCTCTTTTGGATTGGTTCCACAGCAGTTAGCGAAACCTGACGCAAAGCTCGTAAACCATGTAACAATACCAGCTATATCTTATTAGAGATGTAGTTGTCATCTTTGTTTGCATCCATTTTTATTTACATTTCTGTCTTACTAATGCTATCTTGTTTAGATGATGCAAAAAAAATGCAGAAATGCATTTTGTTTGAAAGTTAGCCTTCCCTTTTCTTTAACATTTAACCCTAATTTCTCTAATGTGTTCTTTTTTATTTTCCCATTAGAGTGACCTCAGTTCTGTGGTAATTTTTATTTATTTTTTTATAAATATGTATGCTTTTTTAATCGTCTGTCTCTGTGCTTATTGTTGACATTATTTTAAAAGCATAATGGAAAAGCAATGTTTGCTCTGCGTATCACAAACTGATGTTTTCTCATCCATCCTTTATGTGTGCAGCTAATCATTTAAATGGTTAACTCTTTCTTTAATACCCATTGTTGAAACTAAAAGTTGATTATTTCAAACCTGTATTTGTGTGGGCCATTCTATAAAAAAGATCACACCAAAATTTTACTAGATAGACATTTTATTTTTAACTGGACAAGGGGGCTTTACAAGTTATTTTTGAAAAGATGAGTTAATCCTTTTCTAAGTTGTCTTTTTTTGAAACACTGAAATGTAGTTTTAATTACAAGACTGTTTGGGTGTGCAAACTGTGGCAGGACTTTTCATATCTACTTGGTGGAGACATTGGGTTTGAGGAGAGAGCAGCAGCAGTTGTATTTTCTATCTTCCTTTTGCTATCTGAAACTGCTTTCAAACTTTTAACTGCATGTAACACCTTTAGTTAGTATGATACTCTTTTCAGTCTGACTTTGCTTTAAGTTAAGGTGTGCATTATATTAAAATAAACTGCATTCTTGTGAAGTAGTAAAAGGTTTTTTTAATCATGTTATTAAAATAATTTGGGAATAATATGAAACTAACTTGCTTTTTCATTATGCTGCTTGTTTTTTCTTTCCCCTTTCAAATTAGCTCTTCCTAAATTTCTGCTATTGATTGCTGCATTAAAAACAACTAAAATGTGGGTAAATGGAGATTTTGAGCAATGGATTTATGGGATATAAAACAGTATCAATTTAAGTGACAGATAATCGTTGTAGTGATTAACATCACACAAACTGTTTTACTTAGGAGCGCCACGTTTTAGTTTAGTGTTTGCAACTCCTTCTGCAAGTGCAAGGTCTTTCCGTAACCCGTTGAGCTTGCAAAGTTTCCATTACCGTATATATGCTGCTGCCCAGTTGGTGTGTAACACGTTGAAAAGGCACAATGAATAGTTCCCGTGCCCTTCTGTATTTCTGCTCCTAACACAGGACCTTTAGAGAATAAAACACTTTAGAATATTTTATCCCACTTTGGTGTTTGTAATTTATGAGCAGGACTACATTTGTGTAATGAAGTTACTTATTTACACTGATTAAAAGGAAACTGTAAGCTTCCTTCCACCCTCACTGTAAAATACGTTATTTGGATTTATCCTGATGAAGTACCTAAACTGGTTCATGCTAATTTATTGATAACTCTCTTGCAGGTGCAGATTTGGTACTTAAATCATTCTTTTTTAAATTGGTGCTTTTTTGCTTTTCTTTTCCACTTCTCCAGGAGCTTGTATCTCTAGTAGACTGAGCCTTCAATAATTGCTCCTCCCTGAGATTTTGGAGATAATTCCACAGAAATAAGGAGAAAAAAACACCTCTAGTTTCATATTTTTGGCTTGTGAAGTTTAAACACTCTGTAGCTTCCCTTCCTGTACTAGAATTGGTCCTTATATGCCATCTTCAGGCATAGTTTCATTTAACAGATTTGTCTTACAGGATATTTTGAAGGTAGAGCATCAGTTAAATTGGTGGATGCATATAGTATTGGTAACCATTGGCATGATGCAGCTGAGCAAGATAGGAGGCTGATTTGCTTTTTAGCCAGTACATCAGTGTTTCAGAATAATAATAGCATCTCATAGCATGTACCTGAACTATTATACTTCAGTTCAACGAACATGCACCTTTATTTTATTTTTTTCCATAGCTTGATGCACTAGTAACTTGGCATGGCATGTCATTAATGTGCACTGCAATTCTTTACCCTTTATTCTGTTACCTTTTGGGTTTGTTTTCTTAATAATTTGGGTAAAACTTGAGTTGCTGTTGAAGTGATGAAAGTCTTGGGAAGTGGTAGTCCAAAGCTTTATAAAGCAATAGCTAGAACATAGCAAAATTATCCCACATCCATTGTTTTGCAAGATATCTGTTGACTAACACTTTTTGCTCCTATTAATTATTGTTGGGATTAAGGGTTTTTTCCTGCATTAATTACTGTAATTTGATTTGCAGGCATGAACTAAACACACGTGTTTTATTTATTTATTTATTTTTTAATAGGACAGTCTAGTCTTTTAATAATACTAATTGCATTTTCATGAACTTGCACTTCTGTTTTTTCAGACAGATGAAGTGTTTCTGGAAGCTCAGATTCAGAATATCACTACCTCTCCAATGTTTATGGAGAAGGTTTCTTTAGAGCCATCTATTATGTACAACGTTGCAGAACTGAACACAGTTGACACGGCAGGGGAAAGGTACGTTCAGATTCAGGACGTAGCTGATACTTGACTTCGAAACCCTTTGTATTACAATTTCATGAGATACAAGGATTAAAATTAGTGAGTTGTCTGTAACCATAGGATTGCACTTCTCTTTGCTTGACAAAAAGATCAAATTCCTGTCGATGTATTCAGCTGGAAAAGTTGTTACAGTTTTCTTTTTATAGAAATTTCTATTAAAATTTTGTCTAAAGTCTATATGGTAGAGAAATCCCCAACTTAATCCTCAAATAACTGATAACATAGATGTATTGAAAACATACTACTTTTATAAAATTTAGGCTACACCTGTTTCTGACTTGTTTGTTTATATGTATTTATCCTTACAGGACCCATCTGACTTGTCCCTACTTCCTTCTAAGAGCATCTTGCCAATTTTCAATTGTTCTAATTAAAGTCTAGCAAGCCAGCAGTCAAGGTGGATCAGTGGAATGCTCTTACAGGATTTTAGAATATACGAATTAGTCACACAGTGAAATAAATTAAAATACCATTTAACATCAATCAGTAAATCACAAAATACCGGAAGAATTGTCTACCACGCTCAGTAAACCATTATGGATACAAAAGCTTGTGATGTTTCGATGAAGGATAACTTCAGCTGTTTGTGCTTTGCAGTTCCTTGTTTTTTCAGAGGAGGTGTAGTGTTGGTGCTGCCGCAATGGGCTGCAGTGGAAATTCTGTCTTCTCCCTGCTTGTCCATACTTTCAGCTCTAGCATAGTGGAGCATTGTTCTTATGAAGTGTCAAATAAGCATGTGCTGTAATGTTTCTTGTCTTAAATCAGAATCATGGGCTGGTGAGCCTGAGAGAGATTCTCTGAGATTTACTGGGAAGGACCAAACAGCAGTTTGCATAGCAGAAGGATTTAGAGAGATTTAGAATGAGCTGGTGTTGTATGGTTGTATGTTGAGAATGAATGCAGTGTGTAAGATGCCTTTCTGCACCGGTGGACCAAGTTCCACTCGGTGATCACTGCCACAGTGTGCAATCTAAGCAGTTGAAAAAGCCTTAGCAAGGCTGGCGAGAATGGTAAAGAGGAGATTAAAGAACAATGTGGCAGGAAAAAGCCCCAAACTAAGGGCTGCTGGAGATACTGGGTGAACTGTTAGTCTTGAAGGCAAAAACTTAAAGCTCTGTGCTTTGATCTAATGGAAAAGGCTATAGTGATTTTAGAAAATTGTAGTACAGTAGTCCTTGTCCTAAGTAGTTGGATAAAAATTGAAAGCCAAACTACGTTGTATAGGTCTTGGCAGTCGTTAATACAATTTTTGTGCTCAAATATTAAAAAGCCGCTAGTGTTAGGTATATTTGTGGTTTACGGGAGGGAATGGATTTTTAAGTGTACCATCCCTATATGCCAACTTTCCTCATGCTCTGAAACATATTGTTGGTTCTGAGTATCTGAATAGCTTTTTCCCTTTTCTTTGCTTGAGAAAATAGTTAAACTAGTGTTGGAGAACTCAGTTGTAATAACTCTTGAAAAAGAGGAAAATGAAAATGAGTTTAATCCATATCTACTGTTGTCCTTGCCTTCACACTATTATGTGATAACTATCTTAATCTGTTCCTGAATTCATTATCATTTCAGCACCTGTTGTTTCAAGCAGTCACACTTACTCCTATATGTTAGTAGCCCCATTAAGTTACTGGCCTTTTTACGCAACTTTTTCAGCGTTTTATTAGCAAATTACTGATGCTAAGATATGCCAGATAATAAATCATAATTCAGCAAAGCTGATTTCTACTTCTGTTCGTTCTACCTCAGTTGGGTCAGCTGTCTTGTTGTGATCTAAACAGGCTCCTTTACAGGCATTACAGTTCAAGTATTCTATGTAAATTCTATAACTGTTTTCTGTTCTGAAAGCACAGAAATATAAAATGTGTTTTATCATGAATAAAACATCACAAATGTAGTAAAACTGCGGAGCAATGGAGAGAAAGGTTGGATTCTTCTTAAGTCCTCTTCAAAATATTATTTATTTTTTTTATTTTTATTTTTTAAGAGAGTCTACTTTTGGCTCAAGGACTTATTTACAGCCTATGGATACACGTCAATATTTATACTGCCTAAAGCCAAAGCAGGAATTTGCAGAGAAAGCTGGAATAATAAAAGGTGTAACAGTGATTGGTAAACTAGACATTGTATGGAAAACAAATCTGGGTGAACGAGGAAGGTTGCAAACTAGCCAACTCCAAAGAATGGTAAGTCTTTAACTTAGACATCCATTTAAGTTAGTCCCTTTTCTTAAGGTAACTAAATGAACAATTGAATAATGACTTGACGGAGAGGTTCAGGCTGCTTACTTTCTGGATCTTATTCGGAATTCACATGCCTTTATACTTCGTACAAATTTGGGCAAGTTATTTAATAACAGATACTGAGTACACATTTGCTGTGTGAAATGTGAAAAAACGCTATTCTGAGAGACGGTGTAGCTGAACAAAAAGATTCTTATCCCTTTTGATGGTGTGAATGGCAACATTTTGGGGGGCTTTCTTGAGGATTTTTTTTTTCTGACACGTAATATGACTTTTTTCACAGCCCTGAACAACATAACTTAATAGATTGTACACTTGAGTTGCCGGAGTCAAGAAACCTATGTAACAAAATACGTTGGTTTAGAGTAAAATTAACTTGTTGAATGCCATCTGGCAGCAAACTACAGATCACTGACAAAAGAGCTTGTTTAAGTATGCTAGCTGTTGACACAGAAGTGTGCTCCCTGGTTCATATGGACTTATGGAGCTTCTTTGAATAACAATATATATAGTATAATCCTAGTTATCTTTCAGATCCATAGTTTTCAGTTCCATCTATTCTCTTCTAGTTAGTTTATAAATTGTTGATGGATTGTAAGTTGTAATTACTGGGTCGCTTAAGTCACCTGCCCAACCTGTCTACTTTTATGCCTAAACTTGACTCACACCATCTTTTGAATTGATGATAGTGGAAGAGAGGAAAGAAGTAAAACCGATGATTGCATCTTTGTCTGAGTTTAAAAACTTGCAACTGGGTTCTCTCTTGCGTGCTCTCTCTCTCTCTCTCGCTTGCTTGCTTGCTCGCTCTTCTCTTTTGCAAGCATTTCTTTTTCCCCTCCCTCCAAATCATCTA